CCCCTACGACGCCACCAAGGACTCCATCCTGCGCCGCGCCAAGGGCATGTTCACGGCCGAGGACCTCCGATAGGCGCACGGGGCGCCCTTCCCCCCCCCAAACACCCCGGGGCCGGGACCCCTCCTTCGTCTTGTGTGCTGAGCCCCCTCTTCCCCGTCGCACCAGTACGCCCCAGTTCAGGGCCCTGCATCTTCTCTGGGGTCCCCGGGCCAGCTCTAGGGGCTGGGCACAGGGGTGCAGGGTCCTCGTGTTGCCCCTGCACGATGCCCTTGTCCGCGGGGGTTGGGAGGGCTGCAGGTAGGTCTGGCTTCAGGCTGCCCCCCCACCCCAATGCTGTTTCGTAGCACCCGGTGCCCACCCCTGTCTCTTGTGTTTGTGAGTGCACTGCCCTGTCATTAAATAAGTCCCCAAATGTCCTGGCCGTGTCCTCGCTGGGGGGTCTGGTCTGTACCCAGCTCCTGGGTGCCCCGAGGGTGCGGCCCCCCTGCCCAGTGACTCAGCGGCAGCTCGGCGCCCCTGGCTCATCCCATCCCGTGGCCCCGAAAGGGGAAGTGCCCGGGGGCCAGAGCAGCTGCTGCTTCCCCTGCCTGGGGCTGGGCTCGGCCCCCCCCAGCGCTGCAGAGCAGCTCCCTGGCTCTGTCCCTGCCGCCTGCCCTGCCCCAGAGCTGGGCCTCGGCTGGCAGGAGGCCGGTGTCCTTGCCCTGCCCTTCCCCGGCCCTGCCTGGCTTCCCTGCCCTGAACCAAGCGGCTCCAGCCGGCTCTGGGTCTGCACAGGCCGCACCAGAGGAGCCGGGGCTGGCTGGGCAAAGACTAGGGAGCTTCAGGGCCGGCTGGGAGGAGATCCCCCAGCCCTGGGGACAGGCCCCCGGGTTGCCATCCCACAGACAGGGGGTGAGAGCCAGTCCGTGCTGCTGCCATGCCCCCAACCACTGCCTGGCTCGTTGCAGTGCCTACCACCAAGCCTGGTGTCGGCACGGAGAGCTGGTGTCAGCACAGAGCAGGGGAAGGGGGAGCGCCCTGATCCCCAGCCAGGCTCTGGTGCCTGCGTGTCCCTGCTGCTGGCACGGGGGCCCCCACAGCACTAGTCCAGGGTGGGCCTGGGCTGCTCCTGCCTCGGCCGTGGACCCCTGCCCATGTCCTGTGCCAGCCCCACCCGGGCTCTGTGAGCTCACAGCCGTGTAGCACAGTTGTCTGGGCAACGCGTGGCCACAGCACCAGGCCAAGGCGCGGAAGGGGCGGCAGGAGCCGCACGGGCACGAGGGCCATGGCGCGGGACATGATCACGGACACGCAGCAGCAGGACTTCCTGAAGGAGCAGTTCCGGCGCGAGGGGCAGCTGTGGCTGCGCTGGTACGGCCGCTACT